ACAACTAACACTTGTTCGATGGGCTCCAAGGAGTTGACAAAGACACTATGGGAGCTGCAGGCTGTCTCTGATTTGCCGATCTTTAGACGTCGATATAAAGAATGCATTCCTCCAGATGAGGAGATATTCCGTAGGCGACTTTGCCCCAACAGAAATAGGAGGGGAGAACTGATTTTGCTAACAATCCTTCCTACTGCATTGAGCCATTATCGGCGAGTTTGTAAAGAAGACAAGCTATCGAGGCATTCACGGGCCACTATCCCTTTAGACATCTGGATTCACAGTTTAATTAGGGAGGAACTTAATCAAATCACCGTTCCTATACAAGATCCTTTTGAACTAGGCGTGGAGTACGTCAACGCCCTATCAGAAGACCTTGATGAACCTTCCACTGACGTAGGGTACATGTCTCCCGCTCTTTCAAGTATGAGCGAAGAGTTATTTCTCGTTGGATTTTTAGTTTGCTGGTTGTGCACATTTGTCCTCCTTGCTAAGAGAGGCGTTATTCGATGCAATGCTTTACTGGCGGCCAGTCTCTTATCACATGGAGAGTGTATTTCTCTTGCCCCCGTAGTTCTCAATAAAATTTTCAGAACATTCAGAGCTGTCTCAGAGAACCCTACACTTGATGGGAATGATACAACCCTCCCTTGGCAATATATTTACGCTTGGGTTCATATTCACATCCAGGGAGCATTTAGCTGTCTGGAATATCTCTCTTACTTCTCATATAAGGGGTACGCAATAGTTATGCAACTTTTAAGAGCCTCGTCCACACTGGAGCAGGAGCGCGTGCGATTATTCTTTTTTGCACCACACCTCGTCGCAGACCGTTTTCGCTTAGTGCATCAATCAGAGCTTGGCAGTCTACCAAGTAATTTGATGGGAGCAAACATCTTCAATGACACTGATCGCCACGGTAGGTATACCTTACTTTTTAAAGGGCGCTCTTTACTGGTTGCTGAATATTTCATTAGCATGCGACCTGGATGTTTGTGTTATCGCTACGAGCAATCGGTGATTTTGGAAAAGTATCAACCTAATAGGACAGTCAGACAATTCGGCCTTTCGCAAGCTACCGCGTATGAGGGTTTGCCGCTTCTTCCTGGTATCACGAATGTTAGCGAGTTGAATATAATACCCGCAGAAACCCGCATGTACGCCGCCTCACTTATGTGGATTCATTTGTTTAGGCTTGGCACAGATAGTAGATTTCGTATAGCACCCCCCGGCAGCCTTACCGGAGTCAGCTACACTCGATTGATTTGGGTGAAATTATCGTATGCACCCTTTATGGAGCACGAAGCTCGAAAATACGAATGACGAGTGCGCTCATTAGGGGCTCCTCGGGGTCAAAGGTCTCGAAGAGGCTCGATACAAGAGGGAACCAATGAAGGTATATATACTTTTTATCATTTTCATTCTTTTTTTACCCATCTTTTCTCTCTTAATTTGAGTGCAGGCGGGCAGAGTGATCAACATACCACCGAGGGGATTGCATCTTCCCCCTCATGAGTACGAGCAAGGGAACCCTCTCCGAGCTATGCCAATGTCCCTTCATCTGGACGTCGTCGTGTACGTTCTCGCCCTATGGAGCCTCCGCGTGCTTCAGCAGATTGGACAGCGAGCCCTTTACCACAACAGTTGTTACCCCATGATGAAGTACCTTTTGACTTTTATCGAATGTCTGTGGATGTCAGGCACATTCCTTCTGATGATTATGAAGGGGGCTTTTCCAGCATGTGCATACCCTCCCCTACACCTGAAGCGGGGTCTTCTTTCATGGAGACACTCTTTCCAACAGACCCCCTCTCATCATATTGACCAGGGGAAACATCTACAGTAAGGGAGTCACCACCTGCTGCAGGGTCCAGTGTGCTAGAGTATACTCAGCCTTTTTTTGAGTAGGCTCCAGTGGTTGAAGCCCTTTCATTAATAACCCACCAGCATACTTTGTGGAATCTAGCACAGGTACAAACTCATTCATTTTTTATTATGTCATCTATCTTTCGCCCCCCTTTTTTACTTTCTCTTATCTCTTTTTTTATGAATTTCTTCCATCATTCTTCTATAGTGCCAGAACAAGCAAATTACCAATCAAAAATATTCTGTAACATTCCACGATTCCCCGACACAAGGAATATAGATATGCGCAATCAAAGCATGCAATCCATACGTGAAGTGATTGCCAAATTGAACCCAGGCTTGCCTGAATCATTGGATCAATTTATGAACACTGTCAATGCTACCTTAGGTGTTTTATCACAGATTGGAATGGAAGAATATGATATGATGTTCTAGGAAGGGTTGTGCCGTGAGGCTGAGTTTTATGTCCGACGATTGAAGTCTCTGTCAATCATACGAACCAGGGTCTCATTACATGATCTTCACGAGAAGGTTAGAATTTGCCGAGAAATTGCTGATGCTGCCCATGATAAGTTCACAAGGAGTGTTGATGCTATGAGACGATATAATGAGAGATCTGTCAGTACTTCAGCTGAAGTAGACAAACTTTCTTCGAAGATAAAGAATCTCTGGAGGGAGATCAGTAATTCAATGTCCTGCAATGTTGACCTTCAAGAAAAACAAAAAGTGCAAGCACGAGTAATCGAGAGGGAGTGTAATCGTTATCAGATTTGCCACCGCGCTATGCAAGATGCCGAGGCTGCACTTACTCGGACTGCGGAAGAATTGCATGTTGCTGAGACCGAACATCAGACCCTTGCCGAGGTGATGTCGCAGCTTCAAGATCTACAAAATCGATTACTCTAATCGTAATTTCGCATTGCTCTTTGTTGGAGATTATATAACTATCTTTATGTATATTTATTCTCTTTCTTGTACTCTCTTCGCATATATATTTGTGTATTGACCCAAGTGTCAAATTTGCAATTTTTTAATTCGGCTATAATAGTTTATTGAACCATTTGGAACTGTTATCAGTCTGACACTTTGTGCTAATGGACTTAATGATGACGAATCCTACTTAACATTTGAGAATTTGCTTCCTTCTGTCCTGTGCTTTCTGCGACGGACTTGATGAAGGGTTACCTAACTTGTCTTCATTGACTTGTCAAGGAATTTTGCTTACCTTCTGCCCTTTGCTTTCTGCTTTGACGGGCTTGATGAAGGAGTGCATGCTCATGACCTAAATCCTTAGATTTATATTAGGTCGATGGCGAAAAGTCATTAGTCCAGAGCTTTGTGCATGGCAGACTTGTTGATGAAGAAATCCTCTTAGTTCAGCCTTATGCTATGTGTGAACTTTGGGATGATTTCTTTGGTCTTTTACTTAGTGCTTTGGCGGACTTGTTGAAAGAAGAATTCCTTCGATCCTCGCTTTGTGCTTTACGGATTTGTTGAAGGATTTGCAAGTTTTAAATCTGGTCGATACTATCAAATATAGATAATATCTTAATCCTTAACCATTTGAGGAGAATTTAATCTGAGTCACTTGAGTTGATCAGATCATGAGAGCTAAAATTTGATAGCCCTTCGTCCTCTGGTTGCTGAGATGGGGGTTCCTCTACTATGGCCTTTCTTATGGCGTGTTGAGTAGATGGAGTTGCCAGGAATCCCGTCATATTTGGGCTTGTTGGATCCGACCTTTTACACCCATTCAGACTTCAGACTTGAGCCATGAGAAATGTGCTTCCCAATGCTGATTTCACTGAAGTTGATAAATTTGGAGTTCTCCTTTGTGGTTGAAGATTTAGAACCTACGTACATTTAGTAATTGTTCGTGACTTATCTTCTCATTGGAACTTTGATTCTCCGGTCAATTAGGAGAATTTGGTAGACTACAATCACTTGAATTTGTCGAGTCAGATTAACCTTCGCACTTCCTACAGTCCTTACTGACGGGTTGACGAAGTGGGGGTTCAGCTACTACGGATGTTCTTATGGCGTATTGAGTAGACAAAGTTGCCAGCGATCCAGCCATATTTGGGCGTGTTGGATCCGACCTTTTACACCCATTCGAATCTTAAGCTTCGGGCTGTTGAAAGATTTCAAGCTGTTCTGGCTTGCTTTGTTAAAGTGTGTAGTCACAAAAAATCTCTTTCTTGACTTTCAAACCTTAGCACGTTGGAAAAGATGGTGTCCTGAACTTTCTAGAGATCACCTGCGTATACTTTGAAAGGAATTCATTGTATCTTCCTTGAAGGAATATTTGCATTGATAATCTTAAATATTTATTCATGGATCTCGGCATGCAGCACGATATCGAGCTGAATAAATATTTAAAATACCCTATCTCGCAGGAACATTTTAGAATATAATATTAGGCTCAAATTAGAAGTAGCATGGCCCACCTCATCAAATAAACTTGATCCAATAAACCCGGTTCAAAAGCGGTATGCAAAATTAAAAGGAATATAAGTTGCTTAAAAGTGTCATACAAATTAGAATTAAAAACCCTCAAAACACTCTCAGAGAATAAACAGAGAATTCAAATTTGTATAAGCTCAATCAAGTCATCATGATGATTAATGAATGTTTCATACTTGAGATAAAATGCATCTTTAAGAAAAAAATCAACCTCTCTAACAATTAGGTCACAAGGAGTTTCAAAGAATTTATGAAAATAAATAAATATCGATTACAGGGTTTGTATATCAGTTAGCTGAAACATGATGACCGTATCCCTAATGTTGGAGCCCGCTTACCCTGTTCAACATCACAGTCAAAGGCTTGAAGTCATACCAACTTCTCGAGCTTTTTACATGGCACCAATGATTTAAGGAGCACAAACAATGACCAATAAATTCAAGTCTGTGGACTTTGAAGGATGCAATCATTCATTTTTCATATCCAGAAGAAATGGATCATTAATGGTAAAATATCACTGGAAGACAGAATATGAAACTTAATTAAGTGTAAACTGTAATGTTCTATTAGAAGCTTTTGGTCATTCATTAAGAACAAAGAAGAAGGATGGACATTCAAGAAGTCATGGTAGATACAAAATACTCAACTACCCTGTTATCAATCTAAAATACCTGGCAATAGCCAACTGATGGATTATGTCGAGCATATGCAGTTAGTAATCGCCTCAAAGCATTTCTTCCATCCTCATTCAACGCAGGATGCCCTGGAAATGTTCTAGGCAAATCCTGTAAGTTTAAAAAATAGCGATTGAAAATAGTCACATAAATAGATATTCTAAATACAACAGAACTTGTATTGTGTAAGGTTTCGTTTGGGATGGCTTTCTTCTTGCTTCTTAAAACGATTTTTTAGTACAAAAATTAAAAAAATTGTACTATAAAGCCATTTTAACAAACAGTAAGAAAGCCGTCCCAAATGAAGCCTAAATCATGAACTTTTCACGAAGTGACCTTCTCAATCTGCCCTTTCCATTTCTCAGTTTGAGGTTTTGTCGACTGGCCTCCATTGACTTCAAGCTCCTTATCACCACAACTCATTTTTGGAGCTAAAAGACTCTGGTAGTATCCATCCACCTTTCGCACTCGCACACCAACAAAAGCTTGCCATAGCTGTTACCAAAAAGAACGATAGACAGAGGTCAGATAATCATTACAAATTAGCAAGAAGTTCAATAATATAACTCTACACAATGCACCTCTCCCCTAAGACCCATCGGCACCCCACCCTGAACCATACAAGCTATCTCTTCTTTCCACTGAAATTTAGGCTCCTCGGAAACTTGATTGATTGCCATGTTAGCCGTTTCGTCATTGTTGGAAGGCCCAACTTGAACTATGCCTGAAAACTCTTCTTCAGAATCTTCTCCTGAAATCCCTTTCATGGGTGTTGGCCCGTCAATAGGAGCCTGGTGGTTGCTACTCCTCCCAAGGTTTTGTTGGGTGGTTGGTAAGGCCTTTCTCTTCACTCGATAGCTCATCATTAGCTCAACGGCGCTGAGGTAAGGACTGATGTCAGCCCATATTAAATCTTTTGATGACCAAAAACACAGCATCGCTGGATCTGCTGCAGAGCTAAGAAAAGCTTCTGAATCTTGTGGTGTATTGAGCTTGGTCTGATCACTATCCTTGATGACAACACTCTCTTCCAAACCTTCTAATTTATTATCATCCTTTTCAATCCCATCACCTCTCTTCAAACTTTCTTTAGAGCCCTCATCTTTGCTAAGGTTCTCATCTATGTCATCCCTTCCTGTAAGACCTTCTGAATCATCAGCCTTTCCCACATTGACTGGATGACCATCTTCTCCCAAAATACACGGAGGTGTTGTGCGGCCACTTTCCTCTGCCAAAATTACTTCAGATTCAGCCAGCTTTTCCAAGAAGATTCTCCATCGTTGGGACCTCTCTTCCTCCTCCTCCTAAAATCATCATGATCACAAAGCAGTCCAAACAATTAGTAATAAAATGCATATGTTTGTTTTAAGCGTGACTCCAGAAAATTTTTTTAAGAAAAAAAGCGAGGGACTAAAGCATTACCTTGTAGATTTTAGCATATTCAAGATATGTTTGCAAGTGTTGTGGCCTCACCGCAAACCCATAGGCATCCCTAATCAAACCAATCAGAATTTTGTGAGAATCCCACCATATACAACAATCAATCCGAAGGAAGGAATTAAAATCCCAAAAAAAATGATAAAACTAATAATAAAATCTTATATTTTTACCTGGACTCAACTTCCATAAGAAATCTAAATCAACTACAGCATATTAGGTCCCTCCATCGCCCACATTCTCGAAACGCATATGCCACGGACCTTAAACCGTATACAAAAACGGCCTCTGATCCTCTGGTCAACTCCACACGGCCTTCTAAACTTGGGATCAAGAACGAAGGAAGAAGACCGCACGGCGCGCGCTACTTTGGCCGTAGATCGGATAACGACTAGGAGTGAGACAGACAAAGCACCGCAGAACAGGAACTTATGAGGGATGTAGCGAGAATGGAGCGGAAGGCAGAATCGATTGCTCGCGACTTGGGAATAGTTACTTGACCGTACCGCCGTCGCTCTCCGGCCGCCAACGAAACGAGGATCCAAGCTTCAGGGCGGATTTTGGTGGAACAGAACGGTCTTTATTTTAGATATAAATTATAAAATTACTCTCAAAATATTAGCATTTATATATTTTACATATCAATTAATTATTTTCATTCATAACTTACAAAATATTCAAATAATAATATTCTCTATAAAATTCTTAATCTCATCATCAAAAATATCTATGCCCTCATATGTTATCTCATTATGGCAACACTTGTTGATGCTCATGGGCGGATCCCCATTTAGTTGAGGATATTTTGAAATATTTTGGGTATTTTGCCCCCTCTCAAAAAATTTTTTTGCCCTCATTTAATCAATCCTAAGCATCTTTACCCATCCCCCACAAAAAAAAAATTTTTTTGCCCACCCTGAAAAAAGAAGCTGGATCCGCCCCTGTTGATGCTCTTACAAACAAGCTTTTGACCTGCTATGAGCTCTGGTGAGATTTCCTTGGCTTGACCTATTGACGGTCTTACCTCTATGGCTCTTGCAAAACATTGGATCGGTCAACGAACTGGATGACATAAAAAATAATATTATTATTAAAAATTAATAAAATTTGCATAATAATATAGCAATCTAACATTGATGTTAGCAAATATTAGAATTAATTTCTACACATTTGATTGATTTCAGTAAAACGCTTACAATTTCATCACATATAAAACACAAATTCAACAAAAATAAATATCAATTTCAGCAATTAAACTTAAACACACAATTTAAAATCACAAAGTCGAAACGACATACCTTGCGACTCCAAGTTTCTGCACGAGATGGTATGGTCATCCCGCGGCTCCCGATTCCCGCACAAGATGGCCAAATTAGCTAATTTGTTTTTACCACATTGCATTGTGGGATGAATGAATACCTAAGATTTTTGCACAATCTCTTCATAATAGGAAATAGTAAGTACACATTTTGGACCAAAATTTCTGGTCTCTTCCTCCAGTAGGTGATATTCTAAAAATGTTATGAATTAGATAAAGAATTGGTAAATAACAACTAAAAAATAGCAACTAAATAAGTAAATAACATGAAAAATGGTGGACACACATGTTCATGAAATAAAGACAAAACAAACAGTAATTTTCAATTAATTGTTCTTAACAATTCAAAATTCAAACATATATTTCATGGGAACATTATCTATAATGTAGAAACTTAGATATAATATTTAGTAACTATATGCAACCAATGCCTAATCTTCATATCATCTCCTAAGTCCTTTGCATATTCAGAAAGAAAAAATCTTGATTAATAACCAGACCAAATGATCAAAATTTTTGTTAGACATCTCTTCAATCAAAGCATAAGCCTCATTGAAGGGCTTTGATATAAGAGAACCACCAGTAGTTGCATCAATAATTGATCTAAGGGACCTATTAGGCCATTATAAAAAGTTTAAAGTATTAACTAGTTAGGAAGGGCATGATGACAACACTTCCTAAGATGTTTTATAAAACTTTCCCACAATTCGTAAATAAACTCGCTATCTAATTGGATAAAAGAAGTAATATCTTTTCTAAGTTTGACATTTTCTTATGGTGGAAAATATTTAGCTAAGAACTTATGTGCTAGCTCATTACAATTTGTTATTAAGCCCAAAGGTAATGAATTTAGACACATTTTAGCTTTATCCCTAAGTGAAAATATAAACAACCTAAGTCTAAAAGTATCATCACTTACACCATTATATTCAAAGGTTGCATAGATTTCTTGGAAAATAGCTATGTGAAAAATAGGGTCTTCTAAAAGTATTTCCCCAAACTGAGAGTTTTACACAATTTGGATAATGATAAGTTTTAGTTCAAAATTATTTACTTATATATTTGGTTTATTTATACTTTGATGAATACACTCAACTATAGGGTTGTTGTATTCCCTATGCGGTTTAGGTTGCTCATTCTCAGGGGTTTCTTCAATCATAATAGAAAATGTAAAGTACTGAGCAATATCAGCTAAACAGATATCAAATCAATGCCAAGCAAGTGAAATTTTAAGCAGATAAAAGAAAATTAGGTTAAACTAATAATTATTTCAACAATACAAAATATAAAGCATGATAATAATTTCACTAGTTTATATTCCTTAAAAACGGCGCAAAAAACTTCTTGTCATGAGAATTGCCTGGATTTACTTATGTTTAAAGTCACTAATCAGATTTCAAATGATAATTCAATTTTTCTAAGGTGTAAATCCTATTTAAAACTCAAGTGTACATTATCATATCAAGTAATAAAGTGATGAATAAACTATTGATCCCATAAAGAAGCACTAGGAGTATTATAAGTTCACTTTACTACTGTTTACTGAATTGTTATGTTTTTATAGTGAGCTTATAAAAATTAAGTTTTAAAATTAAAAGTAAAAAATTTCAAAATACAAAAATAAAAGTTTTCTAATGTGTATGAAATCTGAACCTACCAATCCTTAAAAGGACATATTTGCATTATAGAGGGTTATTCCTATGGTTGTTATGGATTAGAACAATTGTTCTCATCTCTGTTGAGCTCATATATAAAACATAGCAAGGATCTTCACTAATTCTAATTAAACTATCTCTTTAGGATCTCATAATCCTAGCCACCATATGTCTATGTTATGGCCAGACTATATTTTAAATTCCCTTCTTGCTCTTTTAATCCTCCATTGAGGCTATAGAGCACACTATATTTTAATTTAATCTATGCACGACAAATATATAAATCAATTGAAGTGCGAAAAAGTTAAAAACAACATGAGTATGATAACAATTAAACAATACTCTAAGCAATATATGCCTTTTGATTCATCGCATATAAAAAAATAGATAAGCTAAATATGGAGGCTTTGCAACAAGCAACCAACACAATAAACACAATAACCTTTTATCAAACAACTAGTTCACAAGCACAAACACTAGATACAAATGTAAACAAGAGAAAGTAAAGTTGAAAAATGACACAAAAGTAATTTAAGAATCCTTTGCTTACTCCCTAGCTTGCTTGCTTTGCTCCTCACTAATACAAGATTGTTACAATAAACACAAGCTACACACTCTCTACTATACCTCACACACACTCATACACTTTCGCAAAACGGCACTACAAATGGCTCCTCTAAGTGGACTCTCTTTTTCATAAGGAATAAGGTGTCTATTTATAATTTTTCATTTTTCATAAACTAGTGTTCACCAACGCATCAATTCACTAATGGTCACTTCAATTCATCAATGGTCGCTTCAGCACATCGATCAAACTATCTTCCACTATTTCATTGGGCGATTTGGCACTACGGATCTAACTAGATAGTGCCTTGGTGCTAAGCTCTCTAACATATTTTTAATATGTCCTTAGTTGTGGTGTTAAGGAGTGGCATTGTATTAAGTTATGGCGTTGTGGCGTTGCGGTGCTTGTTCAATTTTCTAAATTTTCTTATAATTTTCAACACAAAAGAAAAAGATTATAAGCATAAAATAACATAATTATAAGCAAATAATATAACAATTTTTGTCTTATCTACAAAGATTATTTGAGATTATGAGAGATTTTATATGAATATTTAGTTAGTATAAAATCTATATGGTTAAATTGATTTAAGGTTTTAAAAAGAAGGAATATTAAAAAATGGTATTCGGGATTTCATAAAATCTATATCAATGATATTCGATACTTAAAGTATTAAATAATTCATTGACAAGTAGAAGAGAGATTGTAGAATCATTTATTTCAAAAACACATTTTATTTATTGTTGTAATTACTTGATTTTTTAATGTGCAATGCATTGACTATATGATCACTTTAAATTCCTTTGAATCAAGGAACACCACAATATTAGATTGAGAAGATCAAAATATGATTGAAAAGGTGGGTTACTTGTGATCTAAGACTGATTTATAACTCTTTACTGAGTAAAAGACAAACTTATGCATCTTTTTAAGGGTGCATTCCTTGATACTTGTTTGTATTGTTTAATTGTCGATAAAATATGATTTAAAATGCTTATTTATTCGTAGCAACCCTAAGTGATCATTTTGAAAAGATTTGATAGTTATTTTGCTGCGTTATTTTACTGCATAAATTTCTAGAAGTTTAGAGTACATTCTTTTGTTTGCTAAGAATAATTATTGCCTATATGGGTCATGAATTTTGTTAATAGGTAATTGGGTTACTTTTGTAACAACCATTATAAAGAACTATTACTATATATATATATATAATTTATATAGTGCTTGCTTAAGTGTATGATGCATATAATGTCTATAGTAAACATTTTTGAATATTGGCTAGGTGGACTAATGGGTCCACAGAGTGATGCCTCTATAAGAAATCATTGAATTTTCTTAGGATTGGTGCATGCATTTCCCAATTGGGTATTGTAGTAAATCGACTATAATCATAAATACATTGATATAAAGAAAAAAAATGATAAATGATTAAAAAGCCATTAGTGTATGTAAAAATACAACATGCTTGTAAGTGAATGTTTTTAATATTTAAATGCAATGATTACTAGTTGGCACAAATAAATCTTTATGAACTTTGTTGTTAAAGAAGCACTATCAATAAAATTCTACAACAAAAATCTCATCTTTTACACATTGGTTGCAATTACGGCTATACAATGTTTATTTTTCACTCATGTCCTTTTTTTTCTCATATTTATACCAATGCCTTGTATTTATGTTTTACTCTATGAGGTATCACCTATTGAGTTTTTTTCTTTCGTAAACTCACATCTTTTACTATATAATTTCATGTTAATATTTGTGCAACTTCTAGAAGTGCTTTTAAGTTCTGGCTTCAGGTTTATCTTTGAGAGGTGCTTAAGGTTAAAATTATGAAATCAACTTAAGTGCAGAGCTTGATTTCATTTATAGTTCGGTTGATATTTGATATGTGTTTTGGGTTAGATTCTCTAATGATTTTATTGGTGGGCACAAATTATTGATATCAAATATTTCCACTAATTAGAATTTTTTTATATCCTACCTTTGAATTCTTATGATTTTATTCTAAATCCCATGAAAGGGTGTAACAACTTAATTTTGAAATGAAGATTTTTTATTCTTTTGAAGTTTTGTTTTAAACTTTTTCTCTTATTTTGGAGTAAACTATGTTTGAATTATATTTGAGCTAAGATTTGAATAGAATCAATTCAAACTAATATATATATATATATATGGTGATGTGATGGGCTTCAATAAGCAACTTGTGAATACAAGAGAGGTAGCTTGGCCTAAAATGAGATTTCAGACATATTTCTCCTAAAAATAATAACTATAATATTTTCTATAAAAATAAATAATAAGATATTTTTTGAGTATTATGAGGCATGCAAAATGAAATTACAGATATACCAAGAATTTGAATCCTACTCAACTAAACATACATGGAATTCGAATATCCACAGATTCTAATAAGAATATGATACAGCCACACTCCTAAGTCCTAAGGACCAGCTTAACTCTCCTCGATGTAACAAACACGATTTGGTTTTGAATGGATGAGGAAAGCGACGGCCGCCGTCGCCGCGGCTGCCGCAACTACCGGAGCCACCAACTACGCCTCATCCCTACGCCTCGCCAAGCTGCGTGTCGCAGACGCCGGCGCCTCTCCGGATGCACTATCATTCGGCCTCCTCATCCAACACTTATCCGACCGCGGGCTCTTCCTTCATGGTCGGCAGCTCCACGCCCGCCTCATTGTCCTCTCCGTCATCCCCGACAACTTCCTCGGCTCCAAACTTATCTCCCTCTACTCCCGCTCAGGTTACGTCCACGAGGCCCGCGTCATCTTCGATGCCATTCCCATCAAGAACCTCTTCTCCTGGAACGCTATGCTTCTTGCCTATTCTTTCCACGGGCAAACAGTCCCCTTTCTCCGCCTTTTCTCCTCCATCCCCACCTCTCTCCGTCCCGATGCCTTCACCCTCTCTTCCCTCCTCAAATGCATCCCCTCCTCCCAACCCAACCTTACCGCAACAAAGGAAATCCACTCTTTCGGTCTACGGCTCGGCTACGACTCCGACCTGTTTGTTTCCAATGGTTTGATAACGGGTTACGTGCGCTCGGATGATTTTTACTCCGCGAGGAAGCTGTTTGATAAAATGCCTGAAAGGGATGTTGTATCCTGGAATTCGATTATATGTGGATATGCTCAGGAAGGACACTACGATGATTGCATTAAACTCTATCAGGAGATGGCAATGGGATTGGATGGGGTTATACCAAATGCAGTCACGGTTGCAAGTGTGCTTCTCGCTTGTTCCCAGCTCAAAGATCTTTTATTTGGAATCGATGTTCACAGATTTGCTGTGGAGAGTGGAATGGGAATGGATTTTGTGGTCTGCAACTCCATCATTGGGCTATATGCAAGGTGCGGGAGCTTAGATTATGCTCGGAGATTGTTTGACAGCATGGCCGAAAAAGATGGAGTTAGCTACAACACCATGATTTCTGGGTACATGGCCTATGGGTTTGTCGAAAGGGCAATGGAGCTCTTCCATCTGATGCCTAGTCCAGTTCTCAGTTCATGGAATGCAGTGATTGGTGGTCTGGTGCAAAATAATTACTTCTCCCATGTTCTCGACTTGTTTCGAGCTATGCAAACAGCTGGTTTTAGGCCAAATTCTGTTACAATTTCAAGTGTTCTTCCAGCTGTTTCCTTCTACTCAAATTTTCTGAGGGTGAAACAGATACATTGCTATGCCATCAGGAATGATTGTGACCAAAATGTTTATGTTGCAACTGCGCTTATCAACGCATATGGCAAAGCTGGGTTCCTCAAAGGTGCCCATTTGATATTTGAGGGAACCAAGGTCAGGAGTGTTATTGTTTGGACTGCAATTATATCTGCATATGCAATCCGAGGCGATGCTGTTGCTGCACTTGCAGTGTTTGATAGAATGCTTGAGATAAGGATACAGCCAGATTCGGTAACTTTCACTGCAGTCTTGTCTGCATGTGCTCATGCTGGGGAAGTTAATGAAGCTCACAGGATTTTACATGTTTTAATGCCTGAATGGGGGATTTGTCCAGCAGTTGAACACTATGCTTGCATGGTTGGTGCACTCAGTCGCAAAGGAATGCTTCCAGAAGCTGTCGAGCTCATTGATAGGATGCCATTTCAGCCAAATGCAAAAGTGTGGGGGGCTTTGTTAAATGGAGCTGCAGTTTATGGTGATGTAGAGCTTGGAGAATATGCTTTTGAGTACTTGTTTGAGATTGAACCTGGAAACACAGGGAACTTTATTGTAATGGCTAATTTATATTCACAAGCTGGGAAATGGAAAGATGCTCAGATGGTGAGGGAGAAGATGAAGGGAGTGGGATTGTCTAAGATTCCTGGTTGTAGCTGGATAGAAGCAAGCGATGGCTTGCAGGTTTTCATCACCCGTGATGTAACTAATGAGCATTGTAAAGAGATATTCTTACTTCTTGATGTATTAGTTGGAATGATGAGAGAAGAAGGCTATCTTACCAAGGAGGAACTGGATGAGGAGAGCTACTGCTAATAAATTCTACAAGGGACCGCAAGTAAACGAAGCAAGACCTGAAATGTACCATTAAATTAGCGGAAATCATGAAATGAATGAAGATTAACAGCACGATTGATGAGTAAAATTTTTTTTCCCTCATCTTACTTCCCTCGTTCAAATTATATAACTGACATGCATTTACCTCTATTCCTGGAGTATTGTTTTGTTTTTTTGTCGTTGTTTTCATATGGAAAATTGTGGTTTTCATTTTCTTTTCGTCATATTTTTTTCTTAAGGTTTATTCAGTTGGCTAGTGAATGTCATGTTAGATTACTTGAAGTTGCTTTATTGGTTCGCTTGCTTCTTAAAATTGCAACTATTCAGATTCAGATACTTCATGATGGCCTGTGTTTAAACAAGAAGGTCTAATATCAATTGTTAGAACAAATCATTTGTTGAGATAAAATCACATATCATGGACAAATTTGATGAACATGAAAACAAGCAATAAAACTATCAAGAATCCATGTAATTTGGTTATAGCCTATCCGTCAGAGAGGAGAGGAAACATCACACCTTTTAAGAGATCACGCAGATGCACAAATAAGTTGAAATAAGAAAATATTATTCCCAAACTCAAAAGCAAACGATCTCATCACAAAGGGAACTTGTTTTTTTCTAATAATATTAATAGAAAAATCTCTTAATATCATATTGAAATACAAGAATAATGTAGAGAGATAAACAAGGAGACTAAACTATGCCAAAAAGCTGGATTGCATGCACATTTTTACAATGGTATGTGATATACTATGGATTTTTAGATATGAATGCAATTAGATTATAGCATTGACACATATTGGGCATGTCAAAGGTGTATTTGATATTAAAAAAAAAAAGATTATCGTCATGTGTTTCATATTACGGGTGGGCATTGAGGGGACAAAATTGTCATTTAGTTTTTTTTCGTGGTGCTCTCGGAAGAGGGGAGGGTTGGCGTAGAATGCTGACCATTAAAAGAGAAGCATAAAATTAAGTGTTACAGAGATAAGGATGCTCAGGGGGATGAGTGGCTTTACTCTTAGAGATAGAATGCGAAACAAGTATATACGTGATAAGGTTGGAGTAGCTCTAGTGGCAGAGAAGATTTTAGAGAGAGTCGCCTTAGATGGTTTGGTCACATAAAACATTTGCCTTCTAATGACCCAATTAGGAGAGTAGATGCAAATATTTGACATATATTAAGAAAGACAGAGGTAAACATAAAAATATTTGATAGAAAGTATTATAAATGATATTTTTTATTAGATATAAATGAGAATTTGACTCTTAATAGAACACAATTGCGAAAAAGAATTTATATAGCTAACCCCACATAGTTGGATAAATGCTTGATGTTGTTGTTGTTGTTGTTTGGAAGAGGGAAGGGTGGAGTCATAGTTTGTGTTGGAATTGAAAGTATTAAGTTGCCTTTCTTACATGCATATTTATCATAGTGGAAGAGACTAGTTTACCAAAATAAAAGAAGTGTTTATCATTTACGATACTAATGATTTTGACTACAGATTTTGAGATGTTGAAACCAACAAAATAATTATAAGTAAAAATATTATTTTTAAAAAACTATAATGTACAAAGAAAAGTTAAGCAATAATGAAAAGAATACCTCCACTACATAGCGTGTTGAATTTGAGAGCCCATTAATATTAATAAATGATAGAAGACATCACAACATGATCAAAATAACTTGAGCTCAACACTTGCGTGATAGAAGTTTCGAGATCATAAAAAATTCTGAAACCTATTAAGTTTTATTCTCTTCTTTATCCTATTTGTCACTTGCTAATGCAAGTAAACCTAAATGCTATGAATAAGCTGAACAAGCTAAAAATTTATTTAAGTGGGTGCTAACCTTGAAAGAAGAGATGAATTCTTTCTATGAAACTAATATCTGGATATTGACTAAGGAACTCAAAGGAAAGAAAACTCATCAAAATAAATGAGTCTATAAATCAAAGAAGTATACAATGGCAACAAGAGATATAAGATGATGCTAGTGGATGAATGGATTTTTGCACAGGGAAGGCATTTACTTCGCTGAAATTTTCTTTCTTGTGGTTAAATTAACTTCTATATGGTTAATGTAAAGTATTCTAGCTGTAGAAGACATATAACTAGACCATATGGATATTAAGATTGCTTCTCTATTATGGCGATCTAAAGGAGCTATCCGGACTAATTGTCTTTCCTGAACTCAAAGGGCCCAAATCCACTTTTCTTCCAAAAATATCTACTCCCACTTCCAGATGGCTCTCGTCAAACCTTTTCTTACTAGCATCCCACTAGTGCTGAGTAGCAGCCATGTCATTCTCAATCAATCTAAATCGCTCAACCAGCTCAAAAAAATCAGTAATACAGAACGGAATTAATGACTATCTCGGAGCATCTCGTAAACATATCATAAAATGGTAACACTTCTCTCCAGAAGTACCAAAAAGCTACGAAGCTTATCTAACCAGAGCAGTAAACTCTGCCTTGTATTGCATCACAATCATGCTCCCTTGAATAAATCTCAGAAGCATCTCTTGCATATGGTGTTGGGCGGACGAAGGTACAAACAAACCTATAATCACATCAGTAAAATCTTCCCAACTAATCATAGAATTCAATCTCCCATGAAATTTCTCATGCTGATAGCCAAGTCACCAATGCTCAACCTCACAATCTAAAACACAACTAGAGGTATTCTCCTCTTAGAAGGACACTGCATCCAATCGAAGGTCTTCTCTAAACTCATCAGCCAATCTTCTGTGTCCCTATGCTCAACATTACCATCAAATCTCGGAGGTTTCAGCCTAAAAAACATCTTCAAATACTAATCCACATCCTCAATCCTACCAGAAGAACTCCCACTTTGGGCCTTGCCCATCAATTGTGTTACCAAACCAGCAAACGGTGACATCGTATTAGAAATAACAATAGGGATGTACTGACTATCGATGCACTTTGGCTCGCACTCTGCCCATCATTCATATCATGCTCGGGTTGATCCATTAGAACTCACAACACACAAAAACTGATACATGCACATGAATAATAAACAAAACGGATGCATGATACTACCCAGAACTATCTCGCACAACTACAGATCAATTCCTATAGCTCTATTTATAATTTATTTCTCCAAATAATCGCTTTGATCCAAGAAGAATATGAAAGTCACACCCAATCCGATATGACCTATAGTTACATGTCACCCGTGACAGAACAGAGGTAGAATAAAACAAACCAAGATATTTTATTTGGAGAAATATCATTTTTTTTTAAGATAACAATCACCAGAGCTTTTTATTTTTTCGCTATACATAAATTTACTCATCCATTTTTTTTTTCCAAAAATGTATACCTATAATAGTCCCCAATAGTAGATATACATGGGGCAAGAAATACAGAAATGATAGTACTATCAAAAATCTAAACAAAACATAAAGGGTAGCTATATACTAGATAAAATCAGAAAAATCAACTTCAACTACTTAACCAACCCTTTATCCTTGCTCTGACCTGAAAGTGAAATACATAATACAGAATGAGCTAACTTAGCTCAACATATTACATTATCCAAATAATTTCTTAATAATCGTAAAACTAATAACTTAAAATAAAACAATTATTTCAATCTTAATAGCAGACTTATAGTTGAGTGGTGTCAGATTAGTATAAGGTTTTACTGATAACTAAACAGGTTATCAAATTCATAGCGCAGTATGTTGAACAGAACAAAGTGCATATGGAATGTAACGGAACTCTAGCCCTTATGTCTACCATTCAAAACTTCAGACCCTTATGCCTCACATTCAAAACTCCTGGCCCTCGGGCCTTCAAGTACTTTCAGCACATTCAAAATTTTTGAGACTAAACTGTGCAGATATATAATAGAACTCTAAATAAAAATCCAATCGAACTCCTCAGATGCAGACATAATATCATACATAGATGCACAATACATTAATTATATCGTATGACAGTAGAACAAAGCAATTATACATAAATTAGACTATTTATAAAATTTCAGATATTTGCCCTACAATAAAAAATTTTCTAGTCAGACCTATAACGATGTCACTAAACTGTACTAATTCAGAATTCTATCAAATTACTAGAGATTTTGCAAAATTATGTTTCGAGATTTTAATTGTTCTATAGTACTATTTTTCAATGTATAAATATTTTCCTATAATTTTAGAAAAGCAACGTTTTAAAAATACGTATCAGAAATTTCGCAGAAAATACCTAAAATTTCATAACTATGTTCTCTATAACATACAAGAAATTATGTGGCGAAAGTTTTCTCGTTTAAAGTTATCTCAATTATATCTAAAAAATTTTATATTTTAAATCATTGAATAATTAAAAATTGAGATAAGCAAAATGTAACCTACCTCGAATCGGACAACTTTCAGAACTGGACCGTCTGTAGAAAATGACTTGAAGCTGCTCAAAATTGACTTTCTTTCTCTAGAAATCCATTTATCTCTCTCTAGTTGGCTGTTGTAATTAGGTGAAATGAATTTAAATAGTTGAAAAAGATTTTTTTTAATATTAAAATTTGGCCGAGCGAAGCAGTGCCTAATCATGCTAGCCACGACACTTCATCTCGGAGCCCACAACACTGCAGCGCCACCCAATGTGCCGCAGCATGAATTAATTTGGCAAAATTATAGAGAGCACAAAGCCACGACGCCACCAGACGCGGTGCTGCGATGTCCCATGAAATTTTTTTTAGATTTGTAAAACATGCACACAAATCCTCGAGACCTGTTTTAGAACATATGCATACCAAACATTCTCCAACACATGCAAAAGATTGAAATGCAAAATTCAGGAAGTTACATTGGAATCGGATTATAATTAATAAATTCATTATTATGTTAATGAAACATGACTTTTTTAATAAGTCTCTTTTTATAAATTTATAAATCAAGAATTAGTGAGCCAAAAATTAAAGTGTTATTAGTTTGATTTGTCAACATAGAGATTATTTCAATAGACAATCTGTTTAGAGTTACATTATTATTTTTTTTATGATTTATTAACTTTAGTATGCATTTTTTGTTTAATTTGAAACTTTCAATTTTAGGGATAGGTTTAGATTATAATTGAGGTTTGGGTTCAAATATGATCTTATGCAAAATTTTGTTTAGATTATATTTGGGCTTCGTTTGGGACAGCTTTCTTATTGTTTTCTAAAATAGTTTTTTAGTACAAAAAATTTCTTGAAAATAGCAAAAAAAAAAAAAGACTATCCCAAACTCTAGAGCTTTTTATGATGCAGGAATATTATCTAGTTCAGCCTAAAAATAAGATCATATTCTTATAGCCCAACCAAAATGAGTCGAATTAGACCAAGAAGGTGTTGAATTGGACTAGTTTTAAAACTTTTTTGGCTAATTTTTATTTATGATAATTTCTCTTATTTTAAATTTTCTTTATTTTTTATGTTTAATTATCTTCTTTTGGATAATATTTAATTTAAATTTGAATATTTATTATGATCATATACGATTAAATTTACTTTCAAATAATTAGGCTTAGTTTGAGACATATTTTCTATTGTTTTGTAAAATAGCTTTTTAGTACAAATATTTCTACTTCAATAAAATTTTGTACTAAAAAACAGCTTTAAAAAACAGTTATAAAGTTGTCTCAAGACTTCGTTTGGGATAGCTTTTTTACTTCTTCTTAAAGTGGATTTCAAGTACAAAATTTTTAATTTTTTAACTAGAAAGCTACTTTAAGAGGCAGTGAAAAGATATCCCAAACGAAATTATGATCAGTGTTTGAAAAGCAAGACAGTAAGAAAATTGTTCCAAACAAAACCTAAATCTGATTGACTATGTTTTAGGCTTGCGTGAGATGGACTAAGACGGGCTTACTTAAAAATTTAAAATTTAACGGCTTTTCGAAAAATTTAAAAGATGTTTTAAGCTCTCTGTTAACATTTATGCTTTCAGGATAAAATAGTCTCATTTATAGTTAAACTCATCTTAATTCTATCTAATTTTATGCTGAGTTGCATTCCTTTTAATTCAAATGGTCTACTTCCTAATTTCTCTTTCTCACTTCAGCTAATAGCAGAATAGCTTATTTCTGGAGCTCACAATTCGGCAGATTAGAGGAAGAAAAAGATTGAAGGACAGATAAATCATAGGTCATTATCGATTGTATTCTTTTCTGTACAGTAGTGAGTAATATTGTGTAAAATAACTTGCAATTGATAGATTGTTACTGCCATTTATCTAAATAGCACTATAACTTTGATGTTTCGAATTTGAAATAACAGTGAAACAAATAGGTTATTAGCATCTTCCTAAACAGACTTAATATACAAGGCCTGACAAGTCCTGGAGCTTTTGAATTGAACAAAGATAACCTGTTTGGTTGATGCAAGTAAAGCATTACAGTTCTCTCGACAGATTTCTCCTGCAGAGGTATGATAGGAAACTGCTCTGATACCAATTTGATAGGAAACACTTGGATTTCCAAGTGTTTCTCACCAAAACCAACTAGATCCAAGATGAAAACTGCTGTCCACAACAGTAAAACAGCCAAAAAACAGTAGGAAATGGGGAAAATCTGAGCGAAAAACTGAAGAAACGACTTGTATATTACTAGTAGATGCAAGGAAAATAGTAATGATACAAGGATCCTCTATTCGAGAGGAGGATCGCACTCTCCCAATCTCTAGATCTTGATCTAGAGCCCTCACTATCCAAGAAGACAAAAGAAATTCTCACAAAAATATGACATAACCCTAATCCCCCTCTTACTCCCTACTTAATGCATTCTAATTCAAAACAAAAGCAAAAGGACCTCTCTACCCTTCCTTCTCCCTCCAAAAATACTTCAATTTTGTTTGAATTCCAAGTGGACCCCACTCCCGAGCTCCCCAACGCTTCCGCCCAGCCGCTGTCTCGCGATCGCTGGCTGTCCCGCGGCTTTTTGTCGCCTGGAGAAGACCCGGACCGGCTTGGCCGGTCCAGGTTGGGCCGGTCCAGGTTGGACCGGCCTAACATTACCCCCCTCCCAAAGTACCACCTTGTCCTCAAGGTGGAAAGCAGGAAACTGCTCTGCAATCCTCTCCTGTGGCTCCCAGGTGGCCTCATAGTCTGGGAGGCCGCTCCACCTTATCTTCACCTCCTTTTCCCCCTTCTCATTGATGCGCACGCCTTCTACCGCTAGAGGCTCCAATGTCACTTCCATGTCCTCCCTCAATGTGCTGGGCAGCTCTGGGCTTACTGCATGCTCCCCCACCACTAATACCAGTTAACTGATAGATGGGCGGCGCTATCAAAGAGGAGAGCATTCAGGATGAGAGCTAAGGGAAAATCAAAGAAATTGTGTTATCAGATGGGAAATGCCACCCAGGCTACTCAGTTGTGGGAGAGAGACTGTACTATCAGGGAAGGAGTGTGATTCTTCAAGGTCCCTTCCATCCACATTCCCCAGCTGTTAAGGAAGTTTTCATGGGAGTGTCCATAGGAGGGCACTCTGGAGTGCAAAACACTTATAGCCGTTAGCTCTGAAATTGTACTGGGAGGGGATGAGGAAAGATTAAAGGAATGGTGGCAAGTGTGATATCTGCCCAGCGGATCAAGTACCTGACGATGGCCCGGGGATTATTACACCTCTGGCCACCAGACAAGTGTTGGGAGGAGATTACTATGGATTTTCATTATGGGCCTCCCAAAATCAGAAGGCTAACAACAGTTATAACTGTAGGTGGTCGACAGGCTAGAAAATATGCTCTTTCAAATCTTCCCTTTTGAGACACCCTACACAGCAGTGTCTGTGTAGCCAGCAGCATTTGAGGAGATAGTCCGCCTGCATTGGGTACCAAGTCCATATTCTGATAGGGTACAATGGTGTTCTGAGCCATTTCTAGAGGCGAGCTATTTAGGAGCAGGGAACAGTACTGAGAGGAGCACATCCTACCATCCACAGACTGACGGACTGACAGAGGTGTAAATAGCGAGCGTGAAGACTACTTGATGTGTTTTTGTCTGAAACCCAAAGCAGTGGGCCAAATGCTAGCTTTGGGCAGATACTGGTACAATATCTTTTCACTCTGCTACCAAGATGACATCCTTTTTAAGGTAGTTATTATGGGAGGACCCCCACATCTGGTACACTACACCATAGTAGTACGTCCAGTATTCTGCAGTGAACAAGCATTGAAGGGAGAGGAATCAGAGTGTGGAAAGAGCTCAAGCGACATCTACTTAGAGCCCAGCCAACATTATGAAGAACAGTCGGATGGCAAAAGGAGAATAACAGTTTGTATTGGGGACAAGGTCTACTTGAAGCCTCCGACTATACCGACAGAGGACTTATGGCCCAAAGGAAGATAAATGAGAAGCTGCAGCAAGATTATTTTGGCCCTGTTGAAGTTGGAGAGAGATATTGGAGAGGTGCTTTATAGATGAGGCTTCTTCCATACAGCCAGAATACCACCCCGTTTTTCATTCTCACAATTGATGAAGATATG